GTCGGCGGCCCCGCCCCGCGCAGGGACGCGCACACGTGCGGAGGTGTCGCGAGGGCGCCCTGAGGCCGGGAGAACCACCCGCCGGAGAGGATCGGCTGGCGGGGTCCCCGGAGACAGGGGCAGCGCGGCTGGGGAAACTGAGGCCACGCGGAGGGGGCGAGAGGCCTGGAGGGCTCCTGGGCCAGGGGAACGCAAGCCCGGGACGGCGGCCTGGGCCGGCGGAGACGCCGCGCGCACGCATACTCGGAGGCGAAACGTCTACAAAACTAGGCCAGGTTTATTGCCGAGAGTGGTAGAGCGGGGGGCCGCCTTTAGAGATTAAGGCCACAGCCCGGCCCCCGTGCTCCGACGGGACGCGGGGTTTGGGAGCCTGGGCTCCCGCCCCACACTGTGCAAAAAGTGCTGTGCGGCCGCTGAGGCCAGTGCCAGACTCCGGGCGGCCCCTCTGCCGGCGAGGGGCGGGACTTCCTGGAGTGAACCGCCCACCAATCCCTGAGCTGGGCGGGGGTGGGGTCCCGCCCACCCCCGGAGCCGGGCCGATGGCCGCGGCGTGGTCTCCTCCTCCGGATTCCCGCCGACTCCTGGGCGGGGCCTCCAAGGGAGGAGGCCGCTGGGGGAGGAGCCTGCGCGGTGGGGCGGGGCGGCTGTCAGCGCGCCTCTCCAGGGTTGTACTCTGTCTCGCCGGAGGACACCTGTGAGATGCGCCTGGAGGACCGCCACAGCTTCCGCGCGAACTGGCTGCTGCGCGCCTGGGGTGGGGGGAGGAGGGGAGGAGTAGGATTGGTGGGGGGGAGGAGTAGGATTGGGGAGAGGTGGGCCAGGACCGTCGCTCCCCACCCTGATCGGGCCCACCCTGCCCTCATCCTCACCTCAGAGGGCTGCCCCGCGCCCACCACGATAAGCTTGCCGTCCTCCAGACCCACGAGCACGTGGCTGCGCTCCTTGGTCACAGCCACGCTGCGGATGGGCACCTTCATGGGTAGGGGAGGCGCAGCCGGAAGCAGTCTGCAGGGAGGGAGGGATATAGCTGAACTCTCAGCTGCAAGGGAGCTTTGTGTCTTCATTCTCCCGTGTACCCTCTCTGTCGCATTTGAAGGGATGGCTCAACTGAAACCCTAATACATAAAGGGATCTTCCACAAGTGTGTGGCTAAGGGAGGCCCAGGGCAAGATCAACCCCTGGGGGAGGGGGGGGGACAGGAGATGGGCCCTGAAGAATGTGCCTATGGACACATGTAAAGGGGCTATGGGTAGGCCCACCGTTGTGGGGAGGGGGGAGACAGAGAGGGGGCTGGGAGGCTAGCACCTTTTAGTATCCTCTGCCAAGGACTATAACCCTGCAGGTCCATGAACTCATGAAGAGCGGAACTCACTTGTTCAGGTGGAGGATGTGCAGGGCACACTGGGCGGTGCCCAGCAGAACGAAGTCCTCCGTCACCGCCAGGGCTGTGGGCTGCTCTACCAGGGGCAGTGAAGCCCGTAACTTCCCATTCACGGAGTACAGGTGCAAGGAGTAGGTGACCTGGAAGAAGCAAGAGGTGTCAGCAAGGACAGAATCCCAACTACCCCATTCTTGGCTGAGCACCCCTTTTCCATACCTGAGCCCCCACACGCTCCCACGCCGAGCTCTGCACCACAATCTGGCCCTCAGACCCCAGCGCCAGATGGGACACAGGTCCGGGTAACGTGGCCCCCGGGGGCTGTAGTGCTGCCACAAATTGGCCACGGCGTATGGTGTGGATGATCACAGTTCCATCCTGAAGGAAGGCGGCTTAGGGTTCTTCTGGGCCCGGGTCTCTAATCTCCAGGGACATTGCCTAGCTAACTTGGCCTGCCCTGGGCACAGGCACCCCCACATACCTCAGATCCAGATACAGCCATGTCGAGCTCAGTGCTGATGGCCACACAGCTCACTGCAGCCTCATGCCCATATAGCACCTGCACGGGCTTTGATGCCAGTCCCACCGAGAGACCACCCTGTGGGGAGCCAGGGCTGGCTCAGGACTGGGGACACCTCACTACACTGGCCCCTGAGAAGGCTGAGGCTCAGGAGAGTGATGGCCTTGTCCAGAGCCAGAGCGCTGGAGGGTGGTGGAGCCCCAGCCTTGCTCACAGTGGCAGAGAGAAGGGGTGGATGGGCTGCAGGCGTGGACTATGGGGGCCCCACGGGGTTGCCCACCCAGCACACCTCCTGCAGGAGCCGCCACACCATGCACGTGGTGTCCCGGGAGCCCGAGATGAGGTAGATGCCACAGGTGTCCAGTGCCAGGCAGGTCACTACATCTGCACGGGGAGGGGAGGGTGCAAGCGGAACGCAGCGGTCACCCCCTCCCTGGCCCGCTACCCCGACCCGCGCCACCCCAGCTCCCAGGCTGCACATACCAAGGTGGCGGTTGAGCTGTTTCAGCAGCTTGCCCCGCGGTAGTGCGGTCACTCGCAGGCTGCCATCCCAATGGCCACCACTGAACAGCAGCTTTCCGTCAGGGGCCACTGCCAGGGCCTGTCCACTCACGCCACGGTCCGGCACCCACGGGCCGCTCAGCAGTCGTTGCATCCTGACCCGGATGGGGGGGGGTGGGGACAGGTGAGGCCAGGCCAACAAAGAAGACCCGGGCCCTCAGAGGCCTTGGCCAGACCCTGCCTCTGGCCCACACCCTGACTGGGTGGGGCGACAACTCGGGGGTGCAGGGTATTTAGAGCCCACCCCTGCCCACCTCCCTCCGTCCTACTTGGGGTTGCCCATGGTGGCGTCTTTGCTGAAGCTGAAGTAGTTGTTTATGTTCCGGTCGTAGGGCAGCCAGCTGTGGATGCCCAGCAGCCCACTGGCACTCACGGTCACCTGTGGGCCAGAGAGGGCAGGGGTGGGTGTGGGGCGGAAGTCCGAGCAGGGGCGGAGCTGAGCTGGGCGCTGCGCGGGGCACTTACCAACAGGTCTGAGGAGCCCTGGATGGTGAAGGAGTGGGACTGCCGGTGGGGGACCAGGGCCAGCACCAAGGGCACGCCATCACTGATGACCTGCAGAGCAGAGCTCAGCCGGGGACCGCACTCCCCTGCCTACCACCTGGGGCACCGTTCTTTCCTCTCCTCCCAGCCCCCAGTGCTCACAGACTAGGGGTCACAGAGGCAGAGGTCCCTCTGCGACACGGTCAGGAGAGCTCAGCGCACCTTCAGGAGGGCATCCCCGAAAGTGAGGGAGTGAGAAGCTGGGATGGACAAGGCCACTCTCTCAGCCTCAAGCTTGGTCTTGACCTTGGGCCTCCCACCCTCTGACTTCACATCCCCCCAGCCTGCTGGCAGGACAGGAGGGGTCACTAAAAACGTCAGGCCTGGGGGGCCCTCTCAGGGGAACAGGAACATGAGGGAAATTATCCAAGGCCACATTGCCTTCCTTCCTTAGGGTCTCCCTAAGGTTTTCAGAGATGGTTAGGGGGGTCAACAACTTGTCCTGGCCTCAGCGAAGAAGGTACCCCACCCCCACTCCCGTTACCTCTTTTTCAAAGATGTCTAACATCAGTGACCTTGATTTAGGTCTCCCATCTGCCCCAAGAGGTTGGTAAGGACAGTGAAGTTAAGCCCATTTCACAGAGCAGGAAGATGAAGCCCTGCCTCCGCTCACCTCCGCAAAGAAGGCCTTGAGCTGGTCCAGGTGCTGGAAGATGCTAGGTGAGTTAGTGTCCAGACGCACAAGGCGTTGGGCTGCTTCCTCGGCGGAGAGCCGACGTGGATGTGGCTCCTGTGGACAAGCGGCTGGTCAGCACCACAGCCTGGGCATCCCTGACCCATGATCCTCCGAGCTGACCTTACCTTCAGCAGCTGACAGGGGGTCTGCCCAAAATTACTGATAATGCCCTCCAGAGCCTTCCGTTCCCGCTCGTCCACCACGTGGTCCAGGTCCACGGCCCCTGGGCAAGGCAGGCAGAGCGGTCAGGACTTGCCCCGTGCCCTCTGCACTCTGCCCTCCTTCGCAGTGGCCCAGCCCCCACGGGAGTCCAGGGCACTGCCCACCTTCATAGGTGCAATAATAGAAGACGTTGAGCGCCTCCTCCGCGGCCGGTCCCCGCTGCTTGTAGCCAAAGATGAGGTCAATCCACTCGTGCAGGTGGGCAGACACATACTCGGACTCCTGGGGATGGGGAGGTGCCAGTCAGTCCAGGGATGGCCGACCCCCCCCACCCCGCCGCCCCCAACCCTGCCCCTCAACCCTGGCCGACCGCCTGTCCGTGTTCAGCTCCTCACCAGAGCCTGGCGGTGCTGCTGGATGAAGTCCTCGGGGGAGCTGGCCCACGGTGGCAGCACCACGTTGTCCACCTTCTCGTTGGTCAGCTGGAGGCAGCCCAGGTCGAAGCCTGGCCCGGAGGACGGGGTGAGCGGTCTCGCTGTAGCTTCACCCACATCCCTGGCCAGGCCCGGCCTGTGCGCTCTGCCCCAGGGGCCCCCCAGCCCCACTCCAGCTCCTACCGTTCTGGTTCTCCAGGAAGTCGGGGAAGTAGAAGAACTCTGGGATGAGCTCCTTCACATCGGCAGGGCTCTCCAGGCGGGCCTGCCAGGCTGCCGCCACGGAGTGGAACTGCCGGTCGGAGCAGTCAAAGCTGGGGGAGGGGCACAGGCCGCAGTGAGGGGTCGGGGAACGGGGATGAGGAAGGAGAGCTGCAGCTGGGGGCTAGAAGGGGGCTGGAAGAGAGCCGAAGGGCCCGGGACGCCCGGACGACCTTGCCTCTTCCCCTCATCCGCAGCAACGCACCCTCAGCCCTGCCATCTGCCAGCCTCCCCCCGCCCCCGCCCGGGGCCACACCGGCCACTCTGCAGCTGGACGTGCAGGGAGGTGAAGGGTTCCACGCGGATGAGGTAGTGCATCACGCCTGCTGCGTTGGAATAGTG